TGATGTAATTAAACAAGAACAATCAAATTCAAACAAAAAAATGTGGACGAGTGGTCAAAGACTATACAATTTAATTTTAATTTAAGCTGGCTCAGTAACTATATTGTCATAACAAATTCAAATGTCAGCAGCGATAATGCGAAGACAAAAAGTTGCAAATTATCAGAGCTGGCAGGAACTAATGCAACGAGCAAGCGGATATTAAAAACACATTTTGTCTTACACACCAAAAACCTCAGTTTAAAAACTGCCTAGATTTAATTAAAGATTTCTGTTATTCTAAAAAAATTAAATGCATTTAGAATGTATAGAAAAAGCTGCTAATTTTATTTCTTTAGTAATATGAACATTCAGAAGAAATGGAAATATATATGGTAAGGGTCAGTTACAGAGCTAGTGTGGCAGAAATTTTAGAATTTAGTGACACACCGAGCAACAAAATGTAGAAATGGCAAAACTTTTAGAATTTAGAGCAGGCACTGGAAGCAGAATTTAAAAAGGCACTAGTCAGCAAAATTTAAAAAGGCACTAGTCAGCAAAATTTAGGATCTACAGAGATAAGTTTAATATTCCACGTGATTGCACCAGGTGCGAAAATGCCTAGCGTCAGACCTGTGTATGATGCATTAAGACATATTAGATGACTCTTTTAAATTGCCAGTTTTCAATTTCTTTATTAATAAAAAAATTCCTTTCTATAATGCCTGTCCCATGTGATAAGATTAGAAGCATTTAAAAATTTTTTTCATACTTGTGTCTAATGAAAAGTAGAGAAAATAAGGGGAAGATAAGCATGTTAAGAAAAATATTCTAGTATCAGAAGTAAACCATCCAAATATTATGTTTTCATTGTTCTTCCAGATGTTCTCCAAAAAGTAAGAAATTCATTGCAAACTTTCTGCAAAATACATCCATTACGTGTTAATACCATAGAGACATTTTTCTAAAATCTTCTGGAATGGTGGGTCTATAAATCTTGCTTTCAAATCCTTCTAAACTTGTTGCAAAATCTAATGTCCGGAAGAAAAATTACGCCTACCAATTTTGTAACAGCAAACAGCCAGAAATATTTAAAGAAAAAAAAAAAAAAAAAAAAAAATCAGATGGAAAAAGTGCGAAATTAATTTTATAGAGAAAACTGATGCAATATTCTGAGAATTCTGAACACATGAGAAAACTCTTATCATGAAAAAATTAAAAAGAAGATATTTTTAATTAATATGTTATATTTTAAATATAATTTCAATATATTACCATTATTTTAATGATATTTATCAATGTTAGAATGCTTAAAAAAAATCGTTGTAAAATTCCCAAATCATGGAAATTAAAATTTTCTATAGAAACTGATCTTAAAAATCGCCAAATTTGGAGCCGTTCAATAAAAGAATTCACCTCCCCAAAAGCGAAAAGTTGTTTAAGAGCTCTTCATTAGAAAAAGTGAAATAATTTCGAAATAATTGTTTCACTTCTTGCTCAGAAACTCGAGCATCCCACCATTTATATTAGAAATAGGAACAAATCATAATCCATAAAATTACGGACCTTCTGCCGATTTTGGCCAAAATTAAGGACCAAAAATTGATTCCAAAAAACTTAAGGACTCTTAAGGACCGTACGAACCCTGATTTATTAAGATCGTAAGTGTTTGCAACTTTATATTTTGCTAAAATGACTACAGTATGAGACATCTCTCTACAGTAAGACAAATGATTTCTAGAATTTCATTTATTCCGACTTAATTTTTCAAAAACTAAATTTCCATCACTTTACGTCATTCTTTCATTTTAAGTTATTGTGTACTGACAATCTTTCACTTTTTTCTTCTATTACTTCTTTCACTTTCCCTCTTCATTTATCATCTTATATATATATATTTTTTTTCAAAAATCAACTATCATGGCAATTTCTAAATCTTCAAACATTTTCCCAATTTAGCAGGAGACCTAAGTGATCATATTCTCAAACTGTATACTCTTATGAAAATGGAATTAAGTTTAATACATGTACTAACCAAATTAATTAAAGCACTGTAAAAGAATCCTTCTGCTTCATTAATGACCTAAACATTCATTAATATTCTCTGATATAATTAATTATCATAGTTAAACTCATTTAGTACTTAAATACAGCTTTTGTTTATTGGTATCAAGTAAATTTGTTCAAATTCTGTAGAAATGGATAATATTGCACTAAACCCACTATTTTTTATAACTCCCTAGCCTCATTATCCATGCAATACAGAACTTAACCCTCATAGATAATAATGGATCACTGTAATTGGGAAACTATGAAATCCATTATTACATTAAAATTTACAGAGAACATTCCAATACACAAATGATACCACAGATTATGAGACTCATTGATGGCTGTCATTGATTTTGCTATTTGTGCAACACTGCAAGAACCTGTATGAATAACGAGGTTTTACTGCAATTGTTAAAATAAAGCATTCAGTATTAAATTTAAATGGAAGGGCATTCCAACAAATGACACAAACTCTCTTTCTCAGCAGCAAATGGCTATGAAAGGAATGATTTATATCCATGATATTATGAACAACTTATAAAATATCTTCAAAACTTTAAAAAAAAACTGTTAAAAAATAAAAAAGATCCACAGAAATAAACTTTAGTAATATGTTAGAGAATCCTCAACCAAAACTGGCATACATTCAGAGAAACTCTCCGCATAAAGCAAATAGTAAGTCAGAAGGGCAAACAATGCAGAAAATAAAAGCTATTTCAGCTGCAATTTTAAAAATTCTTTTATTTCTAGTCACATCATTTCGTTAATAAAAGAAAATATATTGCCCCATTATGCTTCTCTTTAAATGAAAAAAAATTATCTCTAAATTTAATTCTCATGTGAATTTAATATTGAATAATGGATCTTTCACTGCATGCATAACAACAGAATTTTTGTCAACTCTGATATAAAACATTTGCTTTCTCACAAATATACAATTAAGGCACATAATTGTTTCTGTAACATTTAAGCACATTTTTTAATGGCTCTCAAATAGTTAATACAAAATGTACATAAAAGCTAACAGGAAAACACTTTAACTATACCTTAAAATAAAGCAAGATACAAAAAAAAAAAAAAAAAAAAAAAAAAAAAGAAGAAGAAGAGAGAGAGGAAAGAGAGCACTAGTACAAAAATTGCATTATATAACAAATTAACAGCAAAAAAAAAAAAAAAAAAAAAAGCTGCATCTAATATATGAAAAGTGCTCATGAAAATTTGTCACTTGCCATTCCTAAGTGTTAAATAAATAATAAAATAAGTATTTCATATTATATTTATAAACTTGGCATGTAAAAGAAATCTAAATTATTAAAACTTAATGTTTTGAAAAAATTAGATATTCTTTAAATGCGTCGAGTTCAGTTGAGTGATAAATACAAATAGCTTATTATTTATAGTATAGTTATGTAAATCGATGTTATACAAGTGCACCCAATATATTCACACTAGTCAGAAAACATCTATATAATGATGCATGTGCAGTAAAGCCTTGAATAAAGCAACTGCATAGGTAGTGCAAAAGCATATGAAATCACATCCATAAAAAAAAAAAAAAAAAAAAAAAAAAAAATTAGGTAAATTAAAATTACAATACGAGTTGTGATGTTTAGTTCTATTTATCTAACTGGTAAAAAAAAAAGCAAATATAATTAAATAAAAAAGATAAAAATATATATGATACATATTCCATTATATAGGCACATACTTTAACTGAATGAATAATCTTCACACTCTTGGAAGAATACAATATAAGAACACTCTTGGAAGAATACAATATAAGAATACTGCACTATATTTGAATGTGAATGTTTTTTAATATTTTTTATATTCATGAATTTTGGAACTGCTCATTATCTGACTCCATAAACTTCAAATACCCTTCTGCAGTTCAGCACTACAGTCTGCACTCAGACAGACAATTCTTTTTTGTTCAGCACTTAATTTAATAAATTTAATTATTTTTGTTCTTTGATGTTATAATAAAAAATAATATACATTTACAATAAATAAAAACCACAATTTTGTATGCTAAAGTTAAAATATGAACAAGTGAACAGAGCAAATTGCACTAACAGAGACTTCTGCAGTCTGCACTCAGACAGTTCTAATTCTTTTTTGTTCAGCACTTAATGTATTAAATTTAATTCCTTGATTTTATAATAACAAATAATATACATTTAAAACAAATAAAAAACCCCAATTTTGTATGCTAAAATTAAACTGTGAACAAGTAAACAGAGCAAATTGCACTAACAGAGTAATCAGCTAAACCTAACAATTTTGATTTGACTATGTTTTTTTATTCATTTAATCCAAACCATATTAGTTTGAGGATATACTGTATTTTAATGAAAGTTATGTTAAAATTGATGTTCTTGTAAAAGTAGCAGAAAACTGTATAAACTAAATATATTCCATTATATTTATACTTTTGTATAAACTATATACTTACTTCTCAAATAAAACCTTCACGTTTATTGTTATGCAAAATTCCTAGGTATTACGTATATTACATAATAAATATATAAGCATGCTACAATTTGCTCTTTTGCTCTGTAGGCCAATCAGTTAAAAGCAAGTATTACTGCTAGTTTCATCTAAGATTCAACTCTCAGCAGGTAAATGAATTGGCTAACCAGCTAACTCACACAAACCAGCTTCCAGTAATAAAATTTAAAAAATTGCCTTCAAAAAATCTTCCATGAAGGCATCAGCCTATGGGATTAGTTACAAAAAGCCCTCTTGTGTACTGTTGTAATTAATTATCTGATCTCCAACACATATAATTTTATGCAAAATTTATAAGTTACATTATATATATAAATATCTGATATCAAATTACATAATTCTAACAGCTTATGTGATATGTGCGATACAAATTCCCAACAGAAAAATGTGTATCTATAATTCAAGAGTATAACAGGACAATTTCTTATTTCCCTTATCAAGTAAAAAAAAAAAAAAAAAAAAATAGTAAATCTACCTTTATTTAGTAAAATTCAAGACTGTACAATTAATGAAAATTTCTGAAATGTTCCAAAACATATATCATACAGATGAAAATGACAAAAAGTCTTGAGCTTCATTCGGCTCTCATGGAATCAAATGAACAATATTGGAAAATTACATCTTTCAGTGAATAAATCAAAAATAATGCTGATGATATCAAAATAAATTTCCAGTAAATGTAGGTAAAAGAAAGATAAAGGCAGACATATTTTTGGAGTAAAAATTTATATAAATGCCAAATAACTGATTTTCTAATAATTCACACATGACAGAAATAACAAAAGAATTCAAAGCATTCTCTTAATCATATGAAATATAAAGGACAATAAAAAAAAAGAGCACAAAAGTATCATAAGGAAATAAAATGTAAAATTTATCCTGCTTAAAATTAATACATAAAGTTTTACATTAACTTCAAAATATGCATACTATAATTATGAAATACCATATATAAAAATAATAAATGCTATTAATTTTATAAGCTTTATATTATATGACCCAGCTATTGCAATGTAAATATGAGGCAATCATGTTAGAAAGGCTTTCATAGGCTGTTTGTTTAAAGGAAAGTAATTCTTCCTTTTAAACAAACAGCTCTGAAGTGCTTCACAATCATTAATTAAATGTTGTAATTATCACAAAAAATATTTTGAATGAACTTGTTACTTTTCATTTTTGAATTCATCAAGATAAATACAGTTTCCCTTGTCCTAATGTTCCCCTTGTCACTTGACTTGCTTTATTTATAACTGCTTATTACATTTGAAGAGTATATTAAACTAGAAGTATTTTTAACAAAATCATATATGAAAATAATATGGTAAAAATCACTCCAGCCTGTAGAGTGGGTTTATTAATTAAGAAGAGTTTAAGTGAATATTACAATTACTTGATGTATTAAATATTAACCAGTGTGATATAAATATTAAATTAAATGTTGTTAAAATGTGATCAGTATCAAATAACTGAACATGCAACATATGCAATTAAAAGAAAAACTGAACAAAAATGCATAAACTTATTCAAAAGGTGCAAAAATATTTCTTATAAGAAAAATATATTTTATAAAATAGTATTAAGATTTATGTTAAAACTGAATGCACATTAATAATCATAGCTTAAGTTCTAAATTATGCCAATCATATTTCAAGATTTTTCAGACATAAAAATAACGTCGACTCCATTTAACTGTAATTATAACAATGGCAGGAATCAGATAATCAGATATTTCATATTAGTTCAGTAGAATTGCTTCTTAAACTATTTTTATTTTTGTGAACTATTGATAAAACTAAATTGTAATATTGTACATATGCAATTCAATACTATTTAGTTATGACAGCTAATTATTGCTTATTTAGGCAGTGAACCAATTGTTAAATTATTTGAATACCACCACTGCTACAATTAAAAATTCACTTAAAATAATTCAGCCATTAAACAAATCCCCTATTAAATAAAGATCATGTACGCTACATTCCTGAAATATCCTGCATAACATTAGAACCATTTTTTATGGAAAAAGATCTATAAAATATGCTAAATTTTTTTCATAGTATTAAGTACTAACAATTAAAATAATTTTAATGTATTATGTAAGCTCATATTTATATCACATTTAACACTTTAATATAACTAAACTACATCATATTTTGTACATTAATATTTGTACATAGAGAAAGTTAAAAATGAAATATTTTGCATCATATACAATTCAAATAAAACTACAGAAAACAGTCAAAAGAGGTTAAAATTGTTTTCAAAATTCAATTTGTATGTAAGTAGAAATACAATGAAACATATATTCTTAATAAAAGTCTACAAAGCATTAATGAGAAATACAAAAAGAACAAACAACATGTAAAACAAATACTTGAGGAGGATAAAATGATATATAAGAGCATAAAACTCAAAATATTTAATTTTATTTAAGAGAAATAATTTTTATTAATAAAATTTCATGAAAGATGTAAAAGAGTAATCTTTATATTCTGAATATGAAAATCCAAAATTTACATAAAAGTGTTTAAAATACAATATCAGTTATATAAATAGAAAACACGAGATAAATATATTATAATTCTTAAAAGCAAGGAGATGTTATATATGTTTTCTGAGCAGTAGGTACAATAAATATCCATCTAAAACTTTATGCGGAGAAAAACCACTTTCATTAATAAAATGCACCAAAGCTCCCTATTCAATAAATGACAAGATGTACAATAGATACACACAACCATCATACACAAAGGAACTATCTCCCATTTTGTAACATTATATCACAGTTGCTTCTCAAAAATAATCCATATTTATTAAAATTTTATCACAATTATTTACTTAGCTAAATGCAACATGAGCAACTAATATTTACAATATCCTAAATAGCTTAAGAATTCAAAAGCATGGCCAATGAAAAAAAGGCCCATTATAAAATCAGTTTATAAAGCATATTTTAAAAAAATTCTTCACCAACACTTTAGCCATAAATTTGGGCCATTTAATGATCATATACTGAAGTATACATGATAGGAATGATCAAATCATCCATATTTGGCATCACAAGTGCTTTCTGGAAAGAGGAAAAAACTCTTAAAGTTACAAGTGTTCAATTATGCATTCAATTTTTAGATTATACATTAGAAACTTTATCCTACATACTTTCATGTATTAAAAATCGTTATTTAAAAAACTGCATATAATTATAAAAGAATAACTACACTAATATAATGATAAACTACACTAAAACACATCCTTTCCCCATAATTCATACATACATACATTATTTTCCTTTGCATGATTTTCAGTGTAAAAATGCAACCATATATAAATGACCTATAAGAAAGTCCTACTTAATATTTCATCAGGTTAATGCACTTTTTTCCCCTCAAATTAATGATCCACTGATCAGGTAAAATTGCATTATAATGACTATAATAAAATGAGAATTCTTTTTCCTAAGGACTTCCCTTCCTAGATTTTTATTTATTTATTTTTTTAAATTTTTTTAAGCCTGTTAGAAAACTAACTAAATTATGTTTAACTACATTCTGATGTATTTCTTTTCCATCTGAAACTCTCTCTTACTAGTGTAAATATTAGCATAATTTTTATACAGTACCAGCCATTTATCATAATGTTGCACCTTCATTTTAAATTGCTTCATTTATGTAACGAATATTAAATGTTTTTTCCACCACAGTGAAGCTGAACCTTCTTCAAAGTTAAAGACAGCTAAAAGAGTTATAATGACCAATAATTTGTTAGGTTACTTGGACTATGGCAAAGCACACAAGGGCTATCTGCCTAAGAGGAAGGATGCCTTTGCTGAAAACTTTCTAAAGGAAATTGGTTTGCGTTCATACAGATATTAGGTGCTGTAAATCAAATATATTTTCCTGTTCAACATCTGGAAATGGTTTAGTCATAGACGGTGAAGAACAAACTGTTGGAGGTGCCCATGTTTTAGTAGCAGTTTAACATCTCTTAACACCTAAGTCATAATGGCCCCTAGACGACAAGAATTTCTTTATAATGTCCACTCCAGTTCTCTAAGTTAATGATAGGTCTGCTCTCAAAATTCATTAACTGCATAAAATATTTGCAGCTATGCCACAGAGGTATGTCTAACAGCCAATAATGTCTTAATGAATGAAACAAAAAGAACATTACATAAAAATAGTCTCTGAATGTCTTTTTACGAAAGAAGAGATGTAGCAATGTTATAAACTCTAATGACCCAGTATTTTATTATACCACAATTGTAAAAAATTATTTACCTGACTGAGATAGAATTGCATAAAAAGTTTGGCAGAACTTTGGTACTTCCATCTTGATGCTTTATGTTTTTTGTGAATGAGTGCAATTTTTTACTCACTTTCAAATCAGAACTACACAAAATGACCATTTGATATACTATTTTTATTATTCTTTGGCCTCTAGAAGGTCATTATAATGTAACTGCTATGCATGTAAATACTATTCCCTGCTATAACATTTCTCATATACTTCATTTTCAGACCCTATGCACACTGTACCAAAAAAAAAAAAAAAAAAAAAACCTCTGATGTGTACACCACATGACTTCCGTGTATGGAATATTAAATTATACGCATTTTTTCTTGCATTTCATTTAAACTTATTGGATTGAATTAAACCAACCTCGCCGACAGCGCATAAACCACAAAGAACAAATGCATTCTTTAAAATTCACTCTACCATTGTTTACCATAGCGACACTCTGGTGCTAGATTCACTTAACAGTATTAATAATTATATAACGGAAACTAAGTTAACTGCTATATAATCCAATAATTATATAACAGTTAACTTATATATTTCGTTCATATTATAACTCATAATGCACAAAATTTATATCATTTAAAGAATAGAATTATCTAATCATTGCCACATGTTCTATTCAAATACTATAATAAAGCTAGAATGATGTATAAAGGAAATTAAGCAAACAAAACAAAAAAGAAACAGTTTTTTACTGACGATTGAGTATTTCTCATTAAATTAATTCAGTTCTCACTTCGCAAGAAGGCAAAAATACATAAAAACTCAAAATATCTATATTAAAAATTACGAAGTAAACCTTAAACACTTATTTCCTCGAAAAAATTCCAGAAAGAATTAAGTATGATTTAAATGGCAATAATAAATGAATGCGTTATCTTTGTTGTTGCGAAGCTAAGTTTCTCTAGATTGGCAACAAATCCACTAGTCTCCTATTTCAAATGTAAACATCAATGGCCCCCATTAAAAAAAGGCTTAGAGGCACTTAGACAACTGTAAAATTGTTGATAATTCTAAAAATATTGCATACAGATTTACTAAAGGCATAAAAACCTTAACCGGAAGATAAAAACAACATAATACAATCATTTTTAAAGCAAAAAATATACAATTTACAAACATAGAAGAGTAAAGAAACTGAGATTACTGAGCCGGGTAACAGAGTGGATATATATATAAATATATTTATATACGTTTGGTGTGGCTGATTGCAACCAAATTACGAGGTGCACATCTACATGTTATAGCAGTCCTATATACAAAATTTCAACGTTCTGAGGCTACTCGTTTTTGAGTTATGCGAGATACGTACATACATACGTTCGTACAGACGCCACGAAAAATTCTCTTCAGAATTAATTTTGAAGCAGTTTTATAATTTTTTTGAAGGAAAAGAGTATTTTATTCTGTCCTTACGTACAGATATCATGCAAAAACATCGTTAAATTGCATTTGATAGCGGTCAAAATGGATATTTTCGTTGAAATATGCTGCCTGAAACTTTTCGCGATTACAATACTTCCTTTTTTACTTCATACAAGGAAGTAAAAAAAGGGGGGGGGAAGAGGTGACAGTTCTATATCTCCCATTCTAGTGGGCTGATTGACGAAATTCAACTTGCATTTTTCATGTCTCGAAAGCACGACTTAGGATATGTAGCTTTATATATGGCACTGTTCTAATACAGGTATTTTTACATAAAATCGAACTTTTTTTTGAAATGACATGCCAATTTTTTTCCATGTTTTGATTCTACGACTCAAATTATGCCAAACAGACAAGTTTTGTAAAAATCGCATGCGTAGTTTTTAAAAAATTAGCTCTCAAAATTTTAGCTCCTCACTGTTAATTGAATTTGATATATATCTATTAATATCTCTTTTTTATTAAACTTATTTGATTCTTCCTTTCATATTTCGAAATTTAAGTTCATTCCAAATAGAATTTGCCTATTTTTTATGATTTATTTTTAAAATTTGTATTTTAAAATAATTTTTATAAATTTTTGGAAATTTTTTTTAAAATTATAACCTAGTACATGTATTTCTAAGCATAACTGCAAAAAATTAGAGTTTTTTTATTCAAAATTTCCTAAGATATACATGAATTTACATTTTGTAACGTTTTAAAACTTGGTGTATTTATTATAAGTGATAAATAACAAAAATGTGGTTTATACATTTTGTTAAAATTATTTGAAAGCATGAACGATGACTTTTTTTCCCGGTAGAGGACAGTGAATTCTTGGCACAAACTGAAAAAAATTTGCCAAGATAAATTTCTAAATTTCTCTGTAAATTTCTCACCAAAAATGACAAAATTTCATATTTAGGCATAATTTGAGTAGTAGAATAGAAATATGGGAAAAATTGCTATGTTATTTCAGAAAAAGTCCAATTTTTTGTCAAAATAGTTATGTTAGAACAAAGCTATATATAAATCTAATATATATCCTAAGCAGCAATTTTGAGACAGGGAAAAAGCATATTGAATTTTGTCAATCGGCCCAGTAGAACGGGAGATAAAACTTTTTTTTTCGCGGTGTACAAGTTGTCTAAAACTACCTGTTAAAAAAAATCAAAAACATAATTTATTTAGCAAGATAACAGCGATTCCTTAGGACTCTCTTCACAAATCAGAAAGCTGCAGCAGCATCGGCAGTGATGGTGATAGTATGGAACCAGAAGCAAATGATATATATAGCATTTCCACCAATACTTAAAGTATTAAATACTATTTATATTTTAATTATGAAGAAAATATATTTTTTTGCTTTCTTAGACCTTTTAAAAATATACTGTTATGAGCCTTTATTGGCACTAAAAGTCTTCAGACTTATATTATGTATTTTCACAAGAAAATCTGTTTCAAACCTTGCCTAATGTGTACACAGGGCTGACAAGTTTCTGCCAAAATGCTTTAATCAAAGGTTTATAACCAGTGAAAACCAACATTACGGAAACTAGTTTCGACCATAAAAGTGGCAATAACCAAAAAAAAAAAAAAAAAACTAAGGAAATAATTTTTAAGTTAAAGAGAGAAATGTATACAAATTCAGCTATAGTGTTTACAATAGTCAAAGGTTACATAACATCATCATTCAAAGATTACATGATTTAAGATTAAATTCAGAGCCAAAAAATTCAGAACAAAAAATCAAAAAATACTTTGTTGAAAATTTAATTACTTTACACTCCACAATAGGTTTATTTCATATTTATACGCATTTTTCATATAGGTGTATTTAATTTCAGTTAGGACAAGAAATACAAGTTATTCAATTTACTTACCATTTTAAAATGTAAGTACAGAGCTAAAAATAATCAGAAAAAGAAAATAATTTAGCATTTTGACTAAGATTTGCTATAAGTCCTCTCATTGTTTTTCGACCTCTATATATGCATATAAGTTTTCAACTGAATATCCTACAAACAAAGTTGTTTTTAGGAAGTTAACTGCATTCACCATTTAGTTCAACAGTTTTTTAACTTTTTTGAGCTACTGCTCCTCGGGGATGACAATTTTAACTGTTTTACATTTAGAACCACAAAAACTATGAAAGGATTACAGATTGCTAATTAAATTCTCTTTTCAACTTCTACTAATGTAATTAATTTACAAGCAACAACAAATAAAATCAAGTATGGCAGTGATAAAATATACTTTATATTTTGATATCAGACAAATCTCAATTTTGTAATTAAGGTATTTCAAAACTACACATATACATACAATTAAGGTACACATATAATAATTCTGAAAACTTTTGCCTGTAACTACTATAATAAGTAAAAATACAAAACAACACTGACAAAAATGAGACTGTGTTATGTGAATAATACCAGTCATAATATTCTCAAAACTATTAAAAGCAAAGCTAGTAAATTGTAAGCTTTTCATAACATTTCAATGTTAGCTGTAGATTAATAATCCAAAAACAATTGTTAAGCAGTCATTTGGGTCCAGAATATTTTTCTATGGTATTGTTTATTTTCTTCGAAGCTTACATGTTTAGGTGGTTCCTCTTCCACACAGAAGATATTAGCTCTAATGCAAGTCACTAGTTGTGAGTACAAGTACTTCAGTTTCTTTTTTTTTTTTCCCTAATTTTCTCTTCATTTTTTTTTTTTTTTTTTTTTTTTTTTTTTTTTTTTTTTGCGGCACCTGCATTGGTCTAAAAGTTTTAAAAGAATTTTTCTACTTAACACCAGCTGGAGTTTGAAATACATAAACATACTTCTTTCCTAAGTTAAATCGATCTGGCTAACTTAGTAATTAAATTTATTCTCTAAATAAATCTCACCATTTTTCGTATATTTAAAAAATATATAAATTAAGCATTGACTTGCATCAAAGCTAAAATGAGATCTAAGTTTTCTACATAGTGTATTGGTAGATATGATATATTTCTTTAATTACCTAATCTCTCCCAAAATATTGCTTGACAGATGCTGATGTAAATAATGCATTACAGTTAGAGTGAAGAGTTCAAACAAAATACTAACAACTAATTAGTCTTAATTTTAAAAATTATTTTGGAGGGGAGGAGAGGTAAAGAGTGTTTTACTAAAAATTTGCATGTTTTTTCCATGCACATAATTGACTAATGTTAATGACAAATGCAAACTGAATTAGTACAGTCAAAAGTCGTAAATTCGGACACCCATAATACAGAATGATCTATAATCCGGACCTCAAAGCTAAAAACTTTCTGCGCATGCGCCGCGTTGACACATGCGCATAGGCGTTTACGCGTGCATGTAAGACCTTTACAACTGCGCATATGCGTGTGCGCAAGCACAGAATATGTTCACGTGCGCGTTTTATGTATAACAGACGGTATAAGCTAAAATTATCTAATTATCTATTTCAGTTAATGTCGATGATTGTGTTGTTCCTTAATCTTCGAATTGGATCCGGCTTATTATTTTTTGCAGACTGTAAGAGCAACTTTATAAAAGTAAACTTGAACTTTCGATTATGTCAAATAGAATTTCCGATGCTGGAGCTCCCAAAGGATCTACAAAACAAAAGTATGTTTCGATGTTCATCCAACAAAAAGTGGAATTGCTGCAAAAAATGGATAAAGACATGAAGAAGGTGACAGAGAGGTTAGTGAAAACGAAAAATTTCGATCGACAAGTTAGTCGGTATTCTCGGCACAGCAATTACGGGACTTGAACAGTGGAACTTTGTAACTGAACAAGAAATTATGTCTGTTTATAGAATTAAAGAGAAAGTATTATCACATAAAACGAAGCAACTTAAACAACTTACATTAAAAGAAATGTTTAATAAAGTAAACAAATAAATATTAAGCTTTTTTTTTGTAAAATTTGATACCTTTAGATCATAATTGTACTTTATTTCATAAATTACTGTTTCATATTTTTAATTTTAGAATTTCTGCATGCCATCTTACGAGATTTAAATTGATGATCTATAATCCGGAATCGTCGAAGTCCCGACGAGTCCGGATTAATGACTTTTGACTGTATCTCCTTATGCAAGAAGCAACAAAAATATATTCAAATAACTGAACCAAAAAGAATTATTTAATTATTATTATACCTACAAAATCTATTTTTAAAAATTTAGAACTTAATTTAAGACTTATAAAAAATAAATAATTAAAATAAAATAAAAAATCTGATGTGTACACCACATGACTTTCTTGTACGGAATATTAAATTATACGCATTTTTTCTTGCATTTCATTTAAACTTAATTGAATTAAATCTACTTCGCCGACAGTGCATAAACTACAATAGAATAAATGCATTCTTTAAAATTCACTCTAGTATTTGTTCACCATAGCGACACTCTGGTGCTAGATTCCCTTAAGAGTATTATATTTCGTACATATTATAACTCATAATGCACAAAATTTATATCATTTAAAGAATAGAATTATCTAATCGTTGCCACGTTCTATTCAAATGCTATAATAAAGCTAGAATGGTCTATAAAAGAAATTAAGCAAACAAAACAAAAAAAGAAACAGTTTTTCACAGACGATTGAGTATTTCTCATTCAATTAATTCAGTTCTCACTTCACGAGAGGGCAAAAATACATAAAAACTCAAAATATCTATATTAAAAATTACGAAGTAAACCTTAAACACTTATTTCCTCGAAAAAATTCCAGAAAGAATTAAGCATGATTTAAATGGCAATAATAAATGAATGTGTTATCTTTGTTGTTGCGAAGCTAAGTTTCTCTAGATTGGCAACAAATCCACTAGTCTCATGTTTCAAATGTAAACATCAATGACCCCCCTTAAAAAAAGGCTTAGAGGCACTTAGACAACTGTAAAATTGTTGATAATTCTAAAAATATTGCATACAGATTTATTAAAGGCATAAAAACTTTAACCGGAAGATAAAAACAACATAATTCAATCATTTTTAAAGCAAAAAATGTACAATTTACAAACATATAAGAGCAAAGAAAGGTAAGTTTTTTCTGTTTCTTTTACTACAACTTTTTTCTTGGTCTTAGCAAAACCCACTGTGTTTGTTTTCATTTAAATTTAATTACAGATTTCTAAATTTTATAAAGGTATAAATCTTTAAGCTTGCAGGTCCAGCCCGTATGTTATTGTATATTTAGGACTAATAGCAGACCGCTATTTATTTTTATTTTTATTTTTATCTTGATTTTTGATGTAATCGGAATAGTTTTTACATATTTTAACACCTTAATGTGTCATTTTGCGCGGACGCGTCGGGAAAATGGAACAGAGAATTGAGACTAATACATTTTCTAAGACACTTTGTCTAATTAAAAATTTTGTTGCGAAAAAGTTTCAATTGTCTGTTTTGGTGAAACGCGTAATGGAGCTAGCTTGATTCGACATTCAATTAGAAATTTTCCTTGAAAAGCTAGATTGGACTTCGAATCCAGCTAATTTACCATTTTCCGCTTTCAATTTTTATCTGATTTTGTTTGTTTTATGTTTTAACTTGTTTCATGGTTTGATTTTACTGTATTTTTTGCCATTACTAGTTTCCAACGCTTAGTTTTTTACCGTGTTTATTTTCTCGTGTAGCATAATTTCTCACCTTTCAATGACATTTTTTTTTTTTTAAATTTGTTGAACTTTTTTTGGAGCCACAGCTCCTGATAACTTTTAGGTGAGCTTACTACAATTTCTAATATATAAATATATTTATATAGGTTTAGTGCGGCCGATTGCAACCAAAATAAGAGGTGCACATCTACATGTTATAGCAGTGCTATATACAAAATTTCAATGTTCTGAGGCTACTCGTTTTTGAGTTATGCGAGATACGCACGTATTTGGTATGAATGTGAACATATGTACAAACGTATGAACATACATACGTTCGTACAGACCCCGCGAAAAACTCTCTTCAGAATTAATTTTAAAGCAGTTTTATAATTTTTTTGGAGGAAATGAGTTTTTTATTCTGTCCTTATGTACAGATATCACGCAGAAACATCGTTAAATTGCATTCAATAGTGGTCAAAATGGATATTTTCGTTGAACTATCCTGCCTGAAACTTTTCCCGATTACAATACTTCCTTTTTACTTCGTACAAGGAAGTAAAAAATGATTCACAGTTTTGCATGATATACTACTTAATATTTTAAAATATTCTTAATCTTTTCCCTCTTAAATAGTTAAAATAAATATAAGATCATAATCAGAAAATTGTGAAAATATTCTTACTTTAAATTCTTGAATTAATTTTCTCTCTATCATTTGCACAACAGCTGACAAGTTTATCTCACGAGTTCCAACTTTAGGATAAGCAGTAAGAGACAAGACAGGATCTTTCCGGAAACCATACCTAAGAAAAAATAAGATATCTTGAAGACAACTTCTATTCAAATATACAACGATTACTTTCATATTAGTATAGTAAGATATACAGAATGTTAAAAAGATAAGTTTCCATTTATCCCAGAAAGTTTCAGACATCAAAAAATGAAAAAGCACCTTCAATGAATCAAAGAACTCTCTACTGATGAGTATAATGAAACAAAATAAAATTAAGCATTGCAGGGTGCATGACAGTAAAGATTGTAACTAACAGCTTAAAATATTGATCTTTATTTTTCAGCCTTCGATTAAGTAGTTAATTTCAGCATGTATAAGAGAAATAAGATAGATTACAGATATGCTATATGTGAAGTAAATAACTCAGGATATAGATTTATGAAATAAACATGCATATACATAGTACATCTATGCAGTTTCAGGAATCTTTTTTAATGAATTCCAACATAAATGCCAAACAGTAAGCACTTATCATTATGCCATCTCAACTTGCTTTTCATAAAGTATCATCTGTTTATGGGTAGAATTTTCCATGCAGTTAATCATTTTATTTGATCCAATAAATACCTGTTGTCATGGATTCAAAAGCTCGAGAAAGAATAGCAGAGTTTTGCTGTAAAGCAGGAACACTACAACAGAGATATTTGAAATATTGTGTAAAATATATCATGTTCAAGCACTAACACAATTCAATGCTTTTTATTAGTATGGACAATTTTTAGTAGATACAAAGACGTTGATGATGAACCCAGAAGTTGTCATTCTTCATTTTCAGTCCCAAAGGGATAAGAACATCGAAAAAACTCAACAAGTTCTGCTGGAAAATCATCATCTGTCTCTTTGAATTAGTAAATTTCAACATCAATACAGACATTTTGCACAAAAATGTTTTAAAAAAAAAAGAGAGGGGACGGGTTATTCTTCTCTCATCCTTCACACACTGATAGCAGAACAAAAATAAGATCATATTTCTGCTTGTTACGATTTTATCCCAACAATAGGTGTGGATCTTCATTCACACCTGTTATTCGGATCAATATTCAGAAAACTGCCAGCACAGACAAACAATATGCTAAAAGATGAATATGATAAAAGACCAAGAAGCTATATGAAAATACCAAGCCTTGTCTAGACTTACAAAGATTATTCATTACTTAATAATAAAGATTATAAAATATAAAACAAAAAGTTGACAAAAATTAACTGAGATACTGTATTTGACGGCATATAAGACGCAATGGTATATAAGGCGCACCCTTATTTAGAAGGCCACACACAAGGTAAAAAAGTTTCAATAACTTAAAACGTGGTTTCTTTCAGTTCTCACGTTTCATAAAAGCCAAATAAACAATCGTTGAATGCAATTACCAAACATATTTTAATTAAGGAAAATTAACAAATGGCACGCTATTTTGAACATGATAAGTAAATTTCAATAATGAATAAATGAATGAACGACAAGCAATCAAATATAATACAAAATAAAGCAGAAAAAAAAAAAAAAAAAAAAAAAAAAAACAGATTCAAGGAAAACATTGCCTATCATGAAATTAGACTTTAATCACTTTCAAAACCATAAAAATCCTTTTCACTATCATCATCATCGAAAACGAGAATATCGTCATCACTTCTGTTTCCGTCATCGCTAGTATCACCTTCTTCGAATAATGCGTCGTCTTCTGTTCCGTCAAGAGCATTACTGATTCCGCACTTCTTAAAGGACTTCAATTTTTCAATTACTTCAGCCTTTATGTCCTCCCAAGATCTTTCTACCCACTCACACACTTGTGAAATAAAGGGCCGCTTCATTCTACCTGAGGGTGTGAGGGCGTGATGTGGCTCTCCTATCCACTTGTTCCATCGTTCTCGCACTTTTTCCTTAAATGGCTTATTCACCGATACATCTAAAGGCTGCAATTGGCTAGTCAGTCCACCAGGAATGACAGCTGTTTGGGTTTTTAATTTTCTCGCTTTATTCTTTATGGTTTCAGTTCTATGGGCGCTAAACGGATCCAAAACCAAAAGAGAGGGTTTTCTTAAGAGTCCACCAGGTCGCCTCGCCCATACATTCTGTAATCACAGTTTCATTCCAGCTTCGTCATTCCACCTTTCGGATGAACATGAACAATTACACCCATTGGAAGTTTTTCTTTTGAATGTGAAAAACGGCGGTAGTTTTGTGCCATTACCACAACATGTTAGAACAATTGCATATCGGGTTTCTTCATGACCTGTGGTTTTTATGGTTATTGATTTAGACCCTTTAATACTCATTCTTATTGGATGGTACATCAAATGTGAGTGGAATTTAATCCATATTTCCTATTTGACCGAGCTCAAAAGAAGTTTTCTTGCATGCATTTATAACAAACCTATGAAATGCTAGTATTTTTTCTTCATAATCTGCTGGCATTTTCTGTGCAGTACTTGTTTTTGTGTGCATTGATAAGCCTTGCCTTTTCATGAACCTGTAGCACCAGCCCTCAGACCCTGAAAAGTTCTGATTCCCATGTTTTTCTGCAAATCCTTTGGTCTCATTGATTATTATTTTGGTTGAAACACTTATGCCAGATCTTTGGTTGAAAGACTTATGCCAGTTGATCTTCCTGCAGTCGCCAAGTATTTAAGTATTCATCATTTTTTTGGTAGGTGGTGGACCGAAATGCCTTGCTGCTGTTTCCATGCACTTTCGCGTAGTTTAACACTCTAGTCTATACTGAATTGTATAGCTTAATATCTTGTTTCCTGTGGTCATATTTTCCAGGGTATTTTTTTTAAACAAATAGTTTTTAGCACCGATATCGACACTTTTATACAGAGTAGTACCGATACCGACACGTGTGTCAGCTGAGTCAAAGAAAATCTATGTAAAGAAGAAAAGGCTCCACAGACATAATGTGGCCGTCGAACCTGTTCGAATTTCGACATCAGCTTCAAACTTTGGCGCTTTTTGGCGACAGATATTTTACGCATGCGCAAAATAATTATGGCAGATGTAGATCTTTATCCGGGCTAAAAATAGCATTCAGTATTGAAAGTTAACCTGTGTCCTTCACATATAAGATGCAGGTAACTTTTTTGAGACCAAATTTAGGAAAAAAAATGTCTCTTATATGCCGTCAAATATGGTAATTTCAAAATCTGGGAATTCTGCCATCTTTTTTCGTATCTACAAAATTTTAGAACTAAATTCATTCAAAATCAAAAACTGATAAAAAGAATTTCTTACTTTATAATAGAAGTAAGAGCATTCTTTTGATCAATTTTTGATTCTGTATGAATTTGGTTCTAAAATTTTGTATATATCCCCAAAAAATGGCAAAATTCACAGATTTTAAAATTAAACACTTGAGCTAATTTTTTCCAACTTTTTGTTTTATATATTATAATCTCTATTATTAAATAATAAAAAGTCTATAAGTGCAATCCTACAAACTTAATATGGACTGAGAGGATGCTAGTGAAAATGTTGAATTTTGCAGAAGGGATGAGTTATTCACAACTCATAATATTTGTCAAACACCTAAACCCACGGTAATTTTATTAATAATTTTATCTTCCTCCAGTCTCTTAAGACATCCAATTTCATTTTATTTTTTCTTGTCAGAAATTTTCCCCTCACACAATGCCACACTAAATAAACTGAGAAACTACCCAGAATGAACTAAAAGTTTACCTTACAAGACAGTAAAGCCATAAACCTCCTAACAGCTAGCAATAGAAAACAGGAATCTGAATAGTAATATAGTGATTACCTGACTTTTCAAGCATTTTTATTACTCAGAAGAGGAATAAGGTATATTGGAATTTTCATAAAAAGAACAAAACCCCGTCATTAAATCTATTGCACAGATTTCAAGAAATAAGAAATAGTGTCACAAAGAGACAAAAATTGCGAAATTAGAATACCATAAAAAATCTTTGATAGAACAAGAAAATATATGGACATTCAATACACATATAAGTGTACTATAATTGCAACAAAAAGTAATTAAAATGAATTTATACTGTTTGTAACAAATAGGGCATTTTAGAAATTATTACAGTCCAGCTATTAATAAACTACAGTCAAAAGTCATTAATCCGGAATGATCTATAATCTGGACCTCAAAGCTACAAACTTTCTGCGCATGAGCCAACCCATAATGCGTTCACGCATGCGCATAGGCATTTACGCATGCCTGTTTAATGTATAACAGACGGTATGAGCTAAGCTAAAATTATCTATTTCAGTTAATGTTGCCGATTGCATTGTTCCTTAATCTTCAAACTGGATACGGCTTATTATTTTTTGAAAACTGTTAGAGCAATTTTATAAAAGTAAGCTTGAACTTTCGATTATGTCAAATAGAATTTCCGATGCTGGAGCTGCGAAAGGATCTACAAAGCAAAAGTATGTTTTCCATGTCTATCAAACAAAAAGTGGAATTGCTGCAAAAATGGATAAAGGCATATCCTTTGTTTCCCTAACCATTCCGAAATCTGTTTATCAATTTCACCCTGCTCTGCGAGGGGGGCGTCGTGGCGTACAATGAACTGGAAGTTGATCTGTCAGCACTATCCTTATCTTCAGGGCAGATGTTTTTATTTTATTTGGCTTATAATTCCTTACTAAATGTAGTATTTCCTCTCAATGTACTCTGTCTTTGATATGATTTAAATCAAGTTCCTCGTCATTATAATTCGCTTCCGATAGCGAAGAAAGTGACACAAAGGTTATTGAAAACAAAAAAATTTTGATTGACAAATTAGTCGGTATTCTCGACACAGCAATTATAGGACTTAAACAGCGGAACTTTGTAACTGAACAAGAAATTATGTCTGCTTATAGAATTAAAGAGAAAGTATCACATAAAACGAAGCAACTTAAACAACTTACATTGAAAGAAATGTTTAATAAAGTAAACAAATAAATATTAAGCTTTTTCTTTTTGTAAATTTTGATACCCTTTAGATCATATTTGCTCTTTATTTTACGGTTTCATATTTTTAATTTCATAATTTCTGCAT